ATCTAAGTAATCGGCATGCACGGACGCTTAATTGTTTTAAACATATTTATCAACGTGTTATCGGCAATGCGAATTTGTTTCTATGTCAGTCTAAATCGCATACGATTATTTGCAATGCCATCGCTCGATCGAGGTGGAAATAGTTGTCGAGGTCATTCCTTACCGTTAGATAATGACATTTTGTTACGATTAATTCACCCCATCTTGTAATAATAAAGTTTATCGACTGCAATATGCATGGAGGCGTCATATCGATTTCATGAAATACTCAATCAAAGTAGTATTGGGACTAGTATGTTGAGAAAGTGATAATGGGTCTGGCTGATTTGTTTGGGCGCCCCTTATACGTTGCGTTTCTATACTAACGAACTTTTGCCATGAGAATCGAATGTCTGATTCATGAATTGACTTTTCATCTCACTTATTTTCGTCGACAAACTGATTCATTAATGTTCTACATGTACGGTCGGATCTAGTTATTGGATTGTAATTGTAATCCTCGTTATCGGTTCATATTCATCGAGCCAAGATAATTTCAAAATAATATGGCACTCGTAGAGAGAGAGAGAGAGAGAGAGAGAGAGAGAGAGAGAGAGAGAGGGATGCACGAATCGCAGTAGGAGTAAAATATGCCACGTTTCAACTTAGAATAGTAATTGAAAATTTTACATTGTGAGCAGACCCGATCATCGTCTTCAATCGATTGTTTATCTCTATTGAATTAATAAATAATACCGTATGCTTGTGTATCGTATTTATCTGATCGCCTTTGTACAACAAATTTTCAAATTTTCACCACCTATCTACCATGTAACACGATATATTTAACTAATTTTCAATAAAAAATTTTATTTGATATACACACGATACAATTTTTTTTATTTTTTTTCATCGATAATAAATATTGTCATTGGCGTCTCACTAATATATTAATTACTCAAAATATGAGATAAGATGACGACGATACTACAATCGACCCAATACCAACGCATAGTGAATTAAGCTTAAGACGCAACAATCTATCTATGATCTGTGCAAGCATTGTGTTAAAACGAAAATTCTTCAATAATTTGTCTGCGCCTTATAAATAAATGTATATATAATTATAAGGTGCGCTGACGAACGGCAAATTCTAATATTAGAGTCCTTAAAAATCGAGAAGATAGGGAAAAACGAAGGAGAAAAGAGCGCGTGACCGAGTGAGTGAGTGAAAGTAGTGACATGTGGAGAAAATGAGAGAGCGAAAGAGCGCGCGTTATCAAGGATATAAAGGAATAATGACATTTAGACACGATTTGGATGAAACAATTGTCGACGGATATTAAAAAAGTATGCTCGAACAAACGAAATAATTGTCGCAAAAAATTTACAAGTAAGCACGATAAAAGGAAAATAAAGATAAGATTAGAATTTGGAAGCACGACAGCGGTATATCATTGTATTCGTTGAGCACGCGTTTTCAATAATTTATATGTCTGTGTGCATATATATATATATATATATATATATATATATATATACACTTTTAATAACATAAATGATAACAAAAATATTCTATTGCTTTTATTGATTTCATCTTTACGTTTTCTTCTGTACTTGTACAATCAACGATAAACAAGACTGCAGGTGCAAACTCTTCCATGCGATACAAAAGGACGAAAAAAAAAACGTAAACACTGCGAGTACACAAAATGTCATGCATCACGAGACACACGACACACCATTATCATGGAATAAAAAGCAAAATAATTAAAAAACAAAAAAAAAAAACAATAAAACAAATGATAAAATATACATACAGTAAACTCGAGCAGTATAAGTGATATATAATCTAGACGTAGGGAATGCGTTTGTGTAAATTCAGCGTCTGTTCGAAAATTTAAAAAGAACAAACAAAATATCCGACTTTATATACACGAGACAAAGTCCATCGTAATCTCTTTTTGATAATCTATATTATTGCCCCAATATTAAATTAAGAATCCCGCACAAATATGTGTTTGTGTGTGTGTGTGTGGTGTGTGTGTGTGGGTGTGTGTGTGTGTGTGTGCGAGAGAGAGAGAGAGAGAGAGAGAGAGAGAGAGAGAGAGAGAGAGGAAAAAACGACGACAAAACAAAAAGACACAATTTAATGATTGTTAAGCGGTACACATTTTCTAAATTTTCATATCGCGTTTCTACGTTTATACGGATCTCCCAAAGCGAAGCGTCAACAAAATTTTAATAACCTTTAACTTAATAATTAACCGTTTCATTAAGATCGTAGCGTAGATAACAATATAATTAATTAATACAAACATTAATTTACATTATTAACAAGTAATGAACAAACAAACATACAAACAAACAAACAAATCAACCAACCAACCAACCAACCAACCAATAAACAAACAAATAGATAAATAAATAAATGAATAACTAAAGGATTAAAGCGATTTGGTTGCATATATGCTTGCTTGTAAGGTATGTGCTCCTTCCGTATGTAATACCGATTCGAATGAAACAAATTTATTGAAATTTCTAAGTGTTAGCGAGCGAGAGAAGAAAAGTGGAGATGAGGAGAGTCTGCGGTCGTAAACGTCCGTATGAGCGGCATTGATTTTAAAATCGATATATTATTAATTATTAAGGTGAGCCAGCGATAAAGAAAGAGGGCGTGCGTGCGTGCGTGCGTGCGTGCGTGCGTGCGTGCGTGCGTGCGTGCGTGCGCTTGCGAGTGAACGAGCGAGTGAGTGAGTGAGTGAAAGAGTAAGGATAAAAGGAGTTAAAATTAAAAATTGTATAGTAAACCTTATTCGTAATGGGAATTTAAACATTGTCTGTAATAATATTTACAACGAAATTCACCGTTTTCTCTCGAGACGATTTAAGAGCTCAATTGACGAGAGCGAATTATTTTCATTTGCGCACACCCATATCGCCGTGTCGGACTCGTGATGGCTTTTGAAAATTCTTCGACAGCAGGAGACGACCATTACAGTTGCGCGGTTCAGCACCCAATTGCGGCATCTTTGTCTTTGCGCCCGGAAATTTTCAGACGCGAGAGTTAAGTCCACAGTATCTTTGATCAGCAGTTATTAATAGTAACTAAACTATTCTACATTTATCTATAACCTATAATAAACTGTGAAACAAGTGTATAGAAGTTGTTTGATTTATTTTCATCAACACCCCCGCCCATCCACCCAAATAACCATCCCGCGTATCGCCGTAGCTTTACAGAGGCAGAGGCTTCGGCTTTATTTACATCAATTTTTTTTTATTTTACTCTATACGTTCTATCCAATTGCATATCTTCTTATTCTTGCCCAGTTGCATTCAAACGTTTAATAACACCAATGTTTTATTAAACAAATTTATTCGTTATAAAAAACAAAAATGTATGCACGATAAATTCATGTCGATCGTTACCTCGATTAAAAATCCTAAAACCAAAGGGTAAATTACCATGCAACTCAATCATTAACAAAATTCCTTTGAAATTATCCGAATGAAATATGAAAATTAATCAAGCTACTACTTGCAATATACTTGGTCGGGCTTCAATTTATTCAATTTGTTAATTTAATTTATTCCATCTTGTGACTTTTTAAGAAAAATTTTTAATGCCACGCAAACATTCTTTTGATCTTCTATTTCAAATTGTACACGTCCATTCCATTATCTCTATTCAATTCTATTAAAATTTTTAATACATTTTTAATGACATTTATCTTCATTATTTAAATAAAATTATTAAATTGCATAGAACCTGCCTGTTCGGAACGACCGTTGTTGTAAATAATGATTAAACCATTCAATGGAAAAGTATAATTTCTATGATAAGTCAATACACTTTTTAAATTATCTTCCGTATTATTTGAAGTCAGTAAGAGAATTAAACGAATGAGTGTATGACAAATAAAAAGATAATTAGAAATTACATTATGCTGAATAATACTTTAACGAGCAACGCTGTTGTTTAATAATTATATAAATATTTAGTTTTATTTGGCGAAAAGAAAAAATATTTTATAACTCGTATGATAGACTATATAAATTAATGAAAAAAAGGCTAAAGAAATCTTTTTTTGCAAACTCGTCAATAAAAATACTTCATGTTGCATTTAGGAGTTACTTTACAAGGTAAATATAGTTATGATTTTTTTAAATTATTAATATTAAAAATATTTATTACAAAAATAAAACTTTGTGGATAAAAAAGAAATATATATATATATATATATGTGTGTGTGTGTGTGTTTGTTTGTGTGTGTGTGTGTGTGTGTGTGTGTGTGTATATGTTATATCATTGTCTATACATGTAATAAAATATGTTACACTATTTACATTTCATTTTGTCAAGTAGATACAAGCTGAAAAATTATTCATCTCCAATAAACTTTCTTCTATAATTCAACGATAATATATTAATGTTTGAAAAAATTATTATGACAGTAAAATCATATCGCTATGCTTTCAATCGTATTAATGAATGATTCCAATTCGTCCTTATTTAATTCAATCTCAAAGATTTCTCGAGTCTCTTTCTCTTGCAGAATAAGATCTAATTGTAGTAATGGCTCTTTTAACGTTGCCATTTTACTCGAGCCCATGATATACTGCGATTGTAAATATATTTGAAATTTAATAATTGCAGTGATAGTTACGGTTACAAATGTATGAATGTATGAATCGTAGAATAACCTTCAATCTCCAATCAAAATTGAGTAAAGTCGGCAAATGTCTACACGAGTATTTATACAATAGTGCATCGGTTAGTTGAGATCTGCGTATTCTCAGACAAATTAATATGATTTCTCTTACGTGTTCTGGAAGCTCGTGATATTCTAATGGCATCTTTAAAATATTTAAACCAAAATTTAAACCAAAACTATACCATTATAGTATAAATAAAGTAGTAGTGTCGGACTTACTTTTTCCTCCTCTATATACAAGCAATTTGTTTTTTGTAAAAATGTTAGGAAAAAGTTGCGCACCTCGTCAAACATATTTTTCGTCCAATCTACGTTACTATATTTTTGGAACGTTGGTCCATTACAAGTGCATATTTCATCTATGCAAGCGTGCAAAAACTTGAAAGAAAGAAATTTTTGTTTAAACTATGAAATTAAATTAAATTACATTAGCTCTAAAAAATTAATCATAGTCAAACCTCCATCAGTTCTTCCTGTTTATCTTTATGAAAAATATTACAATGTATAATTTTATCCACTTCCATGATAAAACAAGAATTTTGTAAACACCTATTCTGAAATATAACTTAATAATCATTCTTATATATTAATACATTTGTTTTTTGTTTGTGTGAGCATGCGAACATATACTATCATTAATGCAATAAAATAATTCTTTATGAATTTAGTATTCATTGTGCAAACATTGTTTAAAACTTTTTATCAGTTAGAAGTTAGATAATAAAACTTAAATCTGGCCTCGTTCGTTTAAGAGAAGATTGGTAATTGTTTAGAATGAAATAGCCGTATTGTTTGTTCCATTGCCGTGATATCATTTTTAGTAAAATCATAAACTATGAGCATTAAAATTATTTGAGGAAACTTACCAAAATATTATAAACGAATTTAAATTCGATTTAAAAGTGAGATGCAAAGCCTAGCTTGACAATATTTCTAGCAAGAATATTTAACGTATTTTTGATGAAAATAGTAATGCCCTATTTATTCCCTACTTTCTTATTCTTACAAAATTAATGTAGCCGGGGAGAACATAACAAACGTAAACTCGACTTCCCAACCACTAACCCCACGAATCCAAAATTTAAGGCCGAAGAGCGCATAGTCGCCCGTGTATTAACAGTCTCGCATCCGTTCGCCCTTCCCAACATGCCCCCCCCCCCACCCTATGACATAGGTAACTCAACTTGATATCGAACGTTTTTCTAGATGAGCCAATGGTCGCGGGACCGTTAATACACTATCGACTAGTTAGAGCGCCGCCTTTTGGCCAATTCTTCGCCTCACCTCGCGCTCCGTCTTCCTTAACAGACAGAGCGAGACAGACAGAGAATAGAGAGAAATAATTACCAACAGTTAGGCTCTTTGACTGCCTAATGGTAGGTTCGGCTACTTTTTCTCAAATTCTTCCCTTTTTTGCATTCGCCTTCTTTTCAAAATTTCATTTCACCACAAGGGATATACATCCAATAATTAAACTGTTATTCAAAAATTTATTGAAAAAATATTTATTTGTTCTTTCAATTAAAGATAGTATTGACTCACTCACTGACTCAAGGCTTTTTTTTTTTACAATTCACATACTTTTTACCCTGTTTTAAGCAATAGAAGCTTATCTCGTAAAAGTTCTCTTTTATCTTAATAAAAGCATCTATTGCAAACGAACGCCATGGATGTATGAATTTTTCTAGATAATATCCTATATATTTTACGTATATATGTATGTTCAAGCGTTCTAATGTAGTTATATACAATTAATTTCAACGGACATCGTTTTTAACTAAATTTCAACGTCATTGCATACTCATAAACTCACGTACATATTCATACATAAACGAATTGAGCACGTACATCTAACGCGCCGCCAACGCAATCGCAGTAAAGCGTGCACGTGTGGCCACGGACCGTTAATTACACACGCCTCTCTCTCTCTCTCTCTCTCTCTCTCTCTATATATATATATATATATACACACGCGCGCACATTATATAAATAAGTATGCATGTGTTTTTTCAAGTTTTTAAGTCTCTTTCAATATTCCATATTCGATATCCTAATTTTCATATTCCGATAAAAGCAATAATTTCCTCACTCTTCCAGTCTTTCACAAATGTCACAAATTTTATAGATCGATGAAACATCGGTATGTCTATACATTATATACGTAAATAACTCTTCCACGTACGGTATAACAAATTTTAAAGATTTTGAAATTTAAACATTTCAAGCTGATCTTTTAAACTAGAATTTCACTCGTTATTTCAATTATTTTTACAAATTTTCAATCGTAACTATTAGTAATGTAGCTAAAGTACATCGTGTATATGTTATCTTATAATAATTATCCGAATGTATTTATTTATCATTTGAATGTATCAATTATCAAATATATTAATATACATAAATACACAATGATATCTATATATACTGTATATATATATATATACATATATATATATATATATATACGGAAAATCTAGTCTCTCTTCATTTTATGGCTACAAAATTAAGTAAAAGTTTAAAAGTCAGCCAAGTTTAAAAATCATGCGCTATTAATTAATTATAAATAACGTTTAAATTTCAATAAAATTTATTTAAAATCTGTCGCCTACTGGGAAGATATAAATTTATATTTAACTATTCAATCAAATCGTAAAAACTTTGATAGACATTGCAAAACATTTTGTTATTCATATTTAATATGAATATTCCTGCATTAATGCCATCTAAATTTTTAATAAGTTTAAATTATAATTTCAAATAAATTATGCTTCGATATTTAAAAATGAATGTTTATGTTACTCTGCCTGGCTCGCATTGAACGATAGCCTTTGTATTTTAGATTCCAAATACTTCATATTTGTCATTAATGTCTTGTATCTGTTACTCCATCTTACTAATTCACTTTCAAGGCTTTCATTTTTATCAACTAATTGTTTATAATTTTCTAAAAAGTGATCGGTATCTGTCTGCGTAGAATGATCCTTGACTGTTATACACTGAAATTTTGAGGCCGTTGACATTTTATCATCCTCCTTTTTCCCTTTCTGACAATCATTCTTTTCCAAGTAATAAGAGTCCAAGTTTTCCTCCATATTAGATTCGATATCGTAATTTTCATATTCCGACATGAACATGATTTTATCATCCTTTGAATTTTCAATTTCACAAATTTCATATATTGGCAAATCGTCGGTCGACGATTCATCTCGAGTATTTACATCATCCAACTGTAAATAAATAGTTTCTTCATTTTTTAAATACATCGAAGCATCATCGTCCACTGACATTTTTTTTCTTTTTCGCTGCGTGAGAGACATAAGTCCTAATGGCGGAGGTACCGAGAGAAACAGGGATGGCACGGCTAAAACATAACGCAATTAATTAAGAACCGTATAACAAGTTAGAGTATTTCTATTTTTTTCTTTTCTTTTTTTTTATGAAAAACAATGAAATAATGGATTAAGTGCTGAGTAGCATCTTTACTATTGCTATTGGATAATGTTGCTTTACTTAAATATCAATCAATCTTTACCTTTGGTTAAACTTAATATTTGAAAAAATATTGTATCTTTAATGTTTATGAAATCCAAATATTCATATCTTTATTATATACTGAAACAATATGCAAGTATTACAAATGAATTATCGGTTCGTAAAGAAAGAATCGTGTTTGTTTTAATACGCATGGTATGTCCAATGTTCAATTAATGTTTATGATAAAGATATTGAGGATATGAAAAATTATTTGTTCTGATTTACAATTATTACAATTTTAACAATTTTATGCTTATTATTAATATAAAATTTACTCCTACAATCTATATGTATGTACCTGTTGATTTCAATCTTCGCTTCGCTGGAATGTTTAAGAATTCAGAGGACATATCACGTTTATAATCGTCCGCCGTAAAGTGAATCGAACATATATGACAAGAATTAGGATTCCATGTCCCTGCTCTTCTACATCTTTGAATCCAAATATTTCTGAGGGGTTGACTTTTAGGAAATTGATGATACATAATGTTCATACCGGCTCTCTTAGTTTTTTCAAAGCTATTGTTACAAACAGCTACTGTACATCTTGTCCCAGGCATTTCAACTCTTATAACTGAAATTACTCGCTATTAATATGAACGAACAAGCAAGCATGGGTGTGTGTTAAGTTTAATTAAGGGAGAATCAAAACATTGATTTGTTTAGTAGTATTTATCGATGTTTGCGAAAGCTATTGATGCGTAAAATTATTGTCAATTAATTAAAAAAAAAAAAAAAAAAAAAAAAAAAAAAAAAAAAAAAAAAAAAAAAAAAAATAGTTATAAAATTTAAGGATTATTATATAGACATTGGAAACAAGTTTTTAATTAAAAAAAAAAAATATATCTAAACTAATGAAATTTCACATTTTTTTAATCCACTTACGTATTATAGTCTTACGTACATTTATAATTAGAATGTATTGAAAAATCGAAAATACATTTTCTATAATAATTGCATGGACGATTTATTTTAAAAAGCAGTATGTACGACGTACATACCATTAAATTTATAGCGACAATTAATATTCATATTTAATTTACCTAATATAAGCACAATAACACGGAGTATTTAAAGTTTAAGGTTACGTTGTCCATAGAATGTAGATGAAAATATGGTAAGTACAGAATCTACAATAACCATGAAATATTCAAACGTAGATATCGAGTACGTGACGACTGCTCAACACGAACTGTTAAAACACATACAAACATACATGCATATATATATATATATATATATATTATTTTGTGCAAGATGCCAATAGCTTGAAAATTTATTCGAGGCTACGCGTTATCTATTTATCAATGTACTACTATCTATTTGTATTTCTAATTGCTTTGAGTAATGTAGAAGGAGTGGAAGTCTGCAGGCTACAACAAATGTCATAAGGAACTCTTAAACGTTAACAGATCCAACAAGGATTTCAAAATTAATGTTTGTTTTTATCCGCGTGTGTGCGCGCGCGCGCGCCTGTCCGTGCCTACGTTGGCATCAATTACCAGTAAGTAAATTCTCGGTATTTCACAAAGAGTATGTTGAATAAAATTTCAGCCGGCTTTCTTCATACTCGACCTATCCCCCACCCCCAACGAGTGGCAACGTTCAATTGATTACTGCCAGACTGTGGGCCTACTTACTCCTAGATTCGCGAGCATAAAAGCTTAAAGCGATTTGAGTTTCATTTGCTGGAATCGAGAAATGTTGGAGTACAGGATTTTACGTAATAATCCATCACCGATATAATGCGACTTTAGTTTCTCCCCTTCCTCCACGAACATACCAACTTTTCAACTGTATTTAATAAAATGAAAGCCTCGATGGCTTCCTCGCTTATTTACCTTAATTTTACTTAAATTAATGTTAATTCAATTAAAATAACTTATTTAGCTAATTGAAACTTTTTTTTTACATTTAGTGCCTTTGTCGTGTAGAATTTAATGCGATACGTAATTGTTTTAGGGGAGCAAATAACGTTTCATTTGCGCTTACTATCGCATAAAATCTACTCGTATTTACAATCGGCAAAACAATCGAATGTGAAATAAAGCGAAATATTTATTTCGTACTTTCTATTATTGTTTGCAGCCGATCGGCTGTGCGATGCATCCAAGTGCGTTTCGACTACATTCAAACGTAAGCGTACACATAGCGAAAATTTGTAAATTTGCGTCTGCCGTTTAGCTGCAGTTATAAGCAGTCGTACGAGTCCGACAATTCGGTTCTATGAATTTCGAGGTGACAAGTCAATAGAAGACATGTTTGATTGCCAGCGTTGGCGATTGTTCTCGGGCGCTTTATCGGCGAAACTTTGAATCCGGGCTATCGAGAAGCGAGAGGCTGTTCGTCCCCCCACTCCCACCCACCCCACTTCCGGCATTGTACCAACGAGGCGAGATCATTCGCCAAATTCGATCTGCAGTTGCACAATAGCGACCTTCTCTTCCGAATGAGTGGAAATGATTTATTTGGCTTACGCCTATGAAAATTCGACGAATAGTAAAAATTTATAGTACTCGATATTTATCGCCTTGACGCCTTACCGAAGCCTTATTATATAAATCGCCGCAATGGAATTGTTACTCTACTCGTAATGACAACAAAAGTAGCATTTTAAACTTGTAAACATTAAGCTTTAATTTTCATCGAAAGTATTTAAATACTTTATGCGTATATATATATATATATATATATATATATATCATTTGTTATTTTTTATGAAAAAGTTTTTGAAGCAATGTGATAGCATGAAAAAATTTCTATTTCTGATAGTTTTATCGGCTGCTTTTTCATAAGTGGGATATTTCATAAAATTGACACGAATATTCATTGATAGGTGGACATTTTCATTTTTCCAATAAAATAATGACTTGTATTATTGAAATAGTAACATTTTCTTTCATTCTTCGAATTAATTTTTTACTGTTAGAGAATGAGAAGGGGGGTTGGGGGGTTGGGGGGTTGGGTGGGGTGTGAGAGGAGAGAGGGGGGCGGAAAAGGGGGGGGGGGGGGGGGGTGGGGGGGGGGGGGGGGGAAGGAGACGTAGTCACTTTAATTTATTGAATAAAGAGTTTATATTTTACATTGGAAACTAAACTTTTAATTTGAATTTAAAATTAAATTTTAAATATTTTATAGTAGATATATATATAGTTTTTTTTTTAATATAAAGTTTCTAATTACCGTTGATAGTAGAAAAATTAGCACAGTAAAAGTTTTGTGTTCATTACAATTATTACATTAACATTATTGTATAATATAATATCACGTTTGCAAAATTGCATCATTAAATTCTTTAAATATTGAAATCTCTAAATTATGACTCCCTGAAAAATTTTTATCTCTAATTTCTAACGTGCGATAAAGAAAATTTAATGCGTTTTTACTTTTCAACGCTTTCTCAATACTAGCGGGCTATTATAATATCCGTACTCTTTGAGTTTCTTGATAATGTCAAGTTTGAATTAATTTCAATTTACCAATATTTCGCTGTCCTTTTCATCGTCTTCGTACCATTAAAATTAACGTGGTGCATGAAAATTGAAAGAGCTAAGCTCGTTTTAAAGCACACCGAGACAGAGAAATTGGCAAGACTACTTATTGTTAAAACTACTTATTTAATAATTAATCGATCTAATGACAATATTTAACAACTAATCATGGATATTGCAACCGTACTTAGAGACATCATACACCCAGCTGGAATGTAAATGTCCAAGTTATAATATTATGTCTGTATTATAAGGACGATTCAAACAGAATTTAAAACCCATTGGCATCGGGCACTTTAAACAATATTTTCTTATCTCGTTTTGTTTGTTTCAAGTGCAATGTAATGAAAACATTGTTCTCGATCCATTTCTGACTCGACTCAAAATTTTTCAAATCTTCTCAAGTGATAAAATGGCTTAGTATGATGTGATCTCGGAGCTGCTAAAGCTAATCATCTGAATATTTATGCTTTCGAGACTATGTAATTAAGTAGTTCGGATATAATTATAGATATGATGCTCAATTTACGAGATAATGGTTATTTCTTATGTTTTTTTTTTTTTTGTTTTTTTTTTTTTGTTTTTGTTTTTTATTGGAAAATAAAAACTTTTTACTTTGAGCAACGCGCTTGAATCTTTCATCAAAAAACATTATTTTAATTTGAAAAGATATAGAAAATTTCCTTACCATTACTATACAACTAATATTTTTGGTATTATTAATTCTCTTTTAAATATAGCATACAAAATAATTCAAGTTATCCAAATAAGTCATATCTATATGAGAAATTCTATATTCTTTTAAGAATCTTTGTACAATTGAGATACAATTGAGCACTTTGTGGTATGAATTTAAATTAATAACAATCATATGCATGATTCTTAATTTTGCATCGGTATATATCAGAAAATTATATATATTATATAATCATTGAGTATTGATAAAATATTTGCCATTTCACATAGCATATATATTTATAATTAGTAAATTACGTCATTTTTACTTTTCATGTTATTTATTTATATTGGAATAGTATTAGATATCGATTAATTTACTGGATTAGTATAGGTGGCATATATATATATATATATGTATGTATTAGGTTTTCTTATAGAATAGATTTACGATAATTTAGAGATATCGATTTTTTTTTCAACATTTATTTAGATTAGAAACATACAGTCGAAATATACAGTCAAGGTTGGTTTTAATATAGATAATTAAATTTTATCTTGAATAAATTTAAAACTTCGGATGTATCGAATTCGGTTTATTGAAGTAAAATATCTATAAGTAATTATAAGATTTTATACCGTTATATGTATATGTATATATATATATATATATATATATATATATATATATATATATATATATATAATGGAGTGATATTTTACAATTGCCGAAATTACAGATTTAATTTAAATTATAAGCAATTATAATAACCTTATTAAAAATAATACAGAACATAAGATACACATTAATTATTAACATAAAAATTGTTTAAATGTGTCTTATGTACTTACAAAGCATTAAAAAATATAATTACCAAAAATCGAAACATGATTTACCTTTTTCTGTACAAATAATGGTTTGTACAATGGTAAATTATATTAGATAAAAGAATCACAATCATTCCACGCAGAGAGAATATGATTTTTAGATTAAATTCTTATGTAACAGTTCATTTTTAACTATGAATAATTTATAATATTTGTTGTACATTGAAAATAAGATTAAAATAAGATTCTTAGTTAAATTGCAGCTTTTAGCATTAGTATAGTTACGGTGTATTTATTACGTGTCAATCTGCCATACAGAATTGAGAACGATTGTTGTCAATAAATATTTTGATTAGCTTATCAATCATTATTTTAAATAATCCCAGGCTTACGTTTCGACTGTTTATAGTAGACACGCATACATCAAGTGAATTGAATATATTTTTTAGAGGATTCAAGCCGATAACTTATATTATACATTATGGTTAACTTTATTAATTATTGTTGAAAGTCAGGAGTGACAATTGCTTATATTTACGTTGAGAGCTTAATATCTATAGGATATTGTATGTTTAAAATTTGATTATTTTTTTTCTATGGAATCTTTTTGCTTGAATTTATTATATTATGTTATGATTATTGTATATATAGACATGCAATAAAAAAAAAAAAAAAAAAAAAAAAAAAAAAAAAAAGATAACAACAAGGTATGGTGATATAACTGTAAAGTAAAAAAAATTAATTATATAATGCACAACGACGACAAATATTATATTTTTCGCGATAGCTTATAATATAAATTACAAGATATATAATAAAATACAATTTACAAATTGTTTATTGTTGCGACCTTTGTTATTTTTTTGTTTTAGTTTTAATGTATCAAAAGTTTGATTAGCATAATAAAATAATAGATTAGTATAAATACACACACACACACACACACACACACACACACACACATATATATATATATATATATATGTATGCGCGTGTGTGTGTGTGTGTGTGTGTGTGAAAGCAAATTTTAATTTAAGTAAGAATAAGCAAAAGATAAATAATGAATTGTTCGGCACAATTCGATTATATCGATATTATTTATAATCATATTCATTATTACAAGGTCGCAAAGATCACGTCTTGTTCTCTTGGTACTAATTATTACATTTAAAAATATGTATAAAAGAGGGGTTATACTTTTCTTATTACTAAATATTAAATTAATGAACGTGTCTTACAAATGCTTCGATATTTCTTTATAATCTACAGTGTTTCTATCTTTCAATAATGCAAGTAACATATACTTCGAAAAGCGAAACATAAAAAGTACATGTACAATACTTAGTAACTTACGCGTTAACAAATTATGTTAATTACAAATATCCGTAATAAATGTATGAAACCGTTACAAAGTCATATTTTTTTCTAAGAAGAATTACAATGCCTAAGCTTCAGATTAAAAAGAATCGCCGAATGAGTTTACTCACATACTCGCATATATATAACTTTACGCGTAGTGTAAGTATTGGTACTAATACAAGTGTTATTGAAGAGTTGTAATAATATATTGAGAAAATGGGGTACATTGAGGAGCTTTTTCGATCCTGCGCTTATTAAGTCTCCTGTTTATTTGGAATTTGTCTCGATGCGCTAAGAACATTCGGTTTGTCTTGTCAGAATTTTGGCAATCGAACAAATAATATTAATTTGATTAAACTCTATATACTACAATCATTTGATAAATATTTTTTTTTTTTTTCATTAATCGGTACATATATATGCATTCCATAAACATTCAAATATTCATTTATGCATGTGTACATATGTAGACTTGCTGAACGTAAAAATAAAAAATGTAATTGGTAATTGCATTTTTAGAGAAAAAATTTTCATTTTATAAAAACATTTTCATTTCTAATTTGAATTTCTGATTTTGTAGAATATTTAATGAGCATTTAAACAGAAATTTTTTCTTTTTAGTCAAGTAATTATTTCCTTCTAATTGAACATGTGTGTGTGTGTGTGTTTTTTTTTAAGCATGCGCAATTAATAGAAGAGAAATGAAAATATAACGAGTTTCCTGCCAGAAACTTGTATTTCCATTTCATTTAATCAATTCTTTAAAAATACTAAAGTCTATTGTTTTGCTTATTTAATGAAACTAGAAATGGATTCGCAAGTGAATTTGGTGGTAGTGATGGCGGGAGGGGTGGGGAGATTCCTATACTTCTTAATGTATATTATTATCTTAGAACAACAAATTGTATATACGAAATAAAGACAAAAGAAGAAAAAAAAAACAATGACTCGTTTATATAAAGAGTGACAAAGGGGAGGGAAAAAGTCGTTATATTATTGAAGTCGCATTTTGCATTTCGGTTAAAAATACTACACCAATGAATCATATAACGGTTACATGTATCTTTTTTGAATCTCCGAATCGATTTCCAGCGTTTTTCATAATAAGAACCAATAAATGTGCGAGCATGCGTACCCTCGTTATATGTAATTCAACAATGTTATTTATAATACAGGTAGAGGTGCGTATTTCACAAAGATAAATACGCGGATAAAGCGTTCAGCCGAAAACCCTTAAAACGATATGTTCCATATTATGCTCGCACCGATAATTCAGATGTAGTGAGAAAACGTCCGGTTGTCTCGAGCGTAGATAGCGAAAGCATTAAAAAAGAAAAAAACCGAAGAGAGAGAGAGAGAGAGAGAGAGAGAGAGAGAGAGAGAGAGAGATAGAGAGAGAGAGACGAAAGAAAAGGATAAGAAAGCGGCGTGAAAGAGCAAAAGGAGACTTGTTCGCAGGATCGAGATAGGACCTCCTTCCTCTCAGACTAGGCTCGCGTCCGAGGACTTCTCATTAACATTATCTGCTTACGAGGGTTCCTTATGCCACTTAAATTGCCTCGATGTATAAAGTAGGCCGAAGAGCAGCCGCGTTCCTTCACATATGCACGCTTCTTTTCCTTTGACTTTCATTTACTTTCAACGTTTTTCTAGTCGCGTTCTCACGCCCATCGCCATCACCTTTTTTGCTTAATAGCATAATTCGTCCGTAATTCACAAGCGCCGGGCGAAAAGAAGAATTTGATCGCACTTTTTATAGATTCGTTTGTCCATTGGAGGCTAATATTTGTGCGCTAAGGAACCTCCGAATCTTCCATTTTATTTTTCTCAAAGAGTTTATCCTATTTTAATTCGTAATGTCAACGCATCGCTTCGTCATCGTGCAACAAGGAAGCTGAATATAAGTTTTCAAAATTCGTGTGTCTATTATAATTGGATATGTCGTTAGAAAAATGGTACTTTTATCCAGACGATATTCGACGGTTTTTTAGAAATGTGATAAAAGCATGAAGTAGAGTGATAGACAACGCATATGATGCACCGGATTGTCGTCACTCTCTTATAATAATTTGGAGTAATTTTATTATTATCTCTCTCTGCATAAATATTAATAATTATTAATAAGCATTTAGAAATGACAATGTCGTTGCAAAAAACTTTTCTTTCTGATCTTAGATAAGATTTTATTTTGAAAATGCTTGAGGTTAAGTGTCGTTGTATGGCCTTTATAAAATGCCAGTTGTGGCCTTAAATTAAATACGCTATGTGATATTAAATTAACCTTAACGACAATTTATTTGCCATTAAGTTGCGCTTAAAACGGAATATAAAAATGAGGACAATGTTCATTGAATTGTTTATAAATTCTGATTGTGTTCGTTAATAACCAATGTTATTTTCAAAGTACAAAGCCTACGCTTACTTTTTTTAAAGCAGATAGACAACTTATCGTATCGAGCCAATTCGCAAATAGTTCAGCTAGCTTATTACATTGAAAAGAGTAGAAATGTGAAAAACAAAGTAAGGATAAGTTGAGCATTTTCTTTGTTAAGTGTAAACACCACCGCTTTTCACATTTAAATCCGTTCATGATAAACGTACATTTACATACCCAATATGACAAAAAGACAGGACATTAGAAGTTAATGACGAAGCTTTTATTTTCTTTTTCTGTTCTTTTTATCGCAACTTGGTGAAGAATAAATTCTGTCGGATAATTTATTTGATATCGTAACTGTTAATAAATCGTGTGACGTTTATCTTATATTTTTAAGCAATATGTTTCAAACCGATAAAATTAACAAAACAAAACAAAAAAAAAACAAAAAAAAAACAAACAAAAAATACAAAACAAACAATTATTTATGTGCGATGGTTCAACATTAAAGTTGTAAGTCGATTAAAATACATTTTCAAAGATTCAAAATACCAAGACTCTCTAATTCTGGTATACGCTTAAGAAGCTTTATTTTTGTATTATTTGGAAATATTATTGTTTCCTTTTGGACAACATTTTCTCATTCGTTATGTTAATGTTGTGAAGTAGATTAAACATCGATAAAGCTGAAATATATCACGCATGAAGATTACGAGATTTCAAAAATTTTAAATACTAGGATATTAATTCTTAATTTAGCATTACAATAGCATTATTAATCAAAGAAAAGTACTTTATCCCAACTTGAAATCGTTCTTAAACATTCAAATCACTATTCTCCGTAGAATATTTATCTTGACCATTGAAACATTTTGCTTAGCTTATGTAAAATGAAAAAATTCTTCAAAAGATAATCGCATCATACCCGGGATACGAATAAAAATGACCAATAAAACAAGATCTGAATGCATCAATAACGCAAATTTAACTGGTGTCTCGGTACAATATTGACCGTAAAGTGCATTTTGTTTTTTTTTCTTTCTTCTTCTTCTTCTTCTTCTTCTTCTTCTTCTTCTTCTTCTTCTTCTTCTTCTTCTTCTTCTTCTTCTTCTTCTTCTTCTTCTTCTTCTTCTTTTATATAATTTAAGCGGTAAAAAATACCACGCGTTCGCCGTCGATCTTGCATCACCGATTTACACGCGTCCCCGACTTGGACTAAGAAGAGCCCAAGTCCATTGTTCTCAAGAGCTTTCTCTCGATTCTCCTTTTTCTCCATTTCTCCAGGCGATGGGGGCACGCGCAGAAAAATGAAAACGATAAGCAGGAGTAAAAAAGAAGAATTAAATGGCACCGTCCGTTCGCACGCGTGGCGAGCGTCTCGCACAACTTTCATCATAATAACGGCTCCGTTTGCTTTTTGTTTGCTTTTTAGCTTCGCCGATGATGATAATTGAAGCTCGAGCGATGATTCGCGTTTGCTTCGAAGATGTCCTTCTTCTTCGGGCACCTGCCTTGTGCCGTGATAAACTCGCCGAATGTGCAATTCGGCGATGTGCACTGGTCGTTTTGTATGCATCTGAAAACATTTGGGATGAATTGCAGATTAGCCATTTTCTTTGCTTTTAATTATGTTTTTTTTTTTTTTTTTTTTTTTTTTTTTTTTTTTTTGATTCCGTGCCGCTACCAAAATCTGTTTCCCGACGTTTGCATATTAATCGCTACAGCGTTTTTAAAAAGCACATCCATATATATATAGAAAGTAAAATCAATCTAATGTATACACAGGCAAAAAAAAAAAAAAACAAAAAAACAAAAAGAAAGAAAGAAAGAGAAAAAAAGAAAAGCGTATCAATGACGAGACCGTTAAAATTTATTCGAATGGCAATTATTCAAATTTTAAGAAAGTCAATTTATATATTTATATATATCTTGCTTTCAATAAAAAGTTTTTATGGTTAAAGGTATAGTCGAGCTACATTTATAACTTAGCATACTACTCAATTAGTTAATAAATTCTTAATAATTCTCATTTATAAAATCGAAAATATAACATTTACGTAATACAATTCGAATATAAGAAATTTCACGTATATTACATGGCACTTGTCATATTACAATTAGGTAATTTAGCAATCGAAATTTATCCTTTCCTGTTACCAGGAGCATTAAATTGTTAACGCATTGCAAAGTAGATAAAAATTGATCTATCCGACGTTAAAAATAAAATATAATAAAATCAATAAAAAAAAAAAAGCACAATAATTGATTTATCGATATTTATCGATGGATATTGCCAAAAATAATGATTAGCCACCCTTACATTCTGTCTCTTAGTGATAAGTAGCCTTTGCCCCGTTGTAGTTTCAAACAATCTTGATCGTGCTCGATGCAACTGCACTCGCATACTCCGTCAATCGTGATTTTTGGCGTAAATTGCGTGGGGCAACGACATCTGAAAATAGTCATTGTTCATTATTGCTTGAAGGTTAAGATTATGTTAGGAATATTATTCGCCCATATGGCCAAATTGCAATGGCCAATACATATTTTCCCATATAAATTACTTAATATCTGCATAACGTTAATCGCTCGATAAAGTATTTTAAAAAGCGCGAAAATCAGAGAAACGCGACAAAGGAAAATCTCTGCAGTCTCATCAGAATCATTTATCAATGTCGCGTTCTGTTCGCTCAGTTCCTGTCTTACTGGCACACGCGTCTATTATCCGTCTTGCATGTCTTTATGCGTCGCGTTACGTGAAACGAGCGATAAAATTGATAACAGACTGCAAGAAACGAAACAAGAGGACGTGTCTATCGATATATTTTGCAAAATTTAAATCAATGAAACTTACGGCTTGCGGGTAGGAGGCCTGACGATATTTTGCGGCGCCGTGGATGACGGGAAATGCCTTGCGGTTCTATGATCCGTCAGTCGGTCACTCATATTGGAAAAGTCCTTCCTTTCGCGACACTCGCATTCGGTGTGATTTTCAAAAGATAACTTCTCAATTTCTGTTTTACCGTAGATATACGTTGCCTGTAACAAATAAATAGAGCGGTGAAAACGCCAATATTTTTTTTTCATTAATTTTGTTGTGCGTGTGTATTCTATTATCATAGAAAAATCTTCTTAACAGAGTAAAACGCCGGGTGAGCTCCATTTTTAATAATTTTAATGAAAAACCAATGCGACAAACATTATACATATTGCCGGCAATTCAATGTCTGTATATACAAATGTCATGATATTATTAATTAATGGTATGTCAGTTGATATTATAAGCTTGACACGAAATTACATTTGAATTGTAACACATTAATCAATTTATGTTATTTAGTATGGGTATTTTATTTATAGTGCGAGTGGCATTTTATCGTAAACACTTTATGCAAATTCTTACAAGATTTAAGCATAATGACAGCATGTTCGACATTATTGCCTGGCACTTAATATAGGTGGCACAACTTTATTACCATATAAATTTTATTTACCAGAAATGATGAATAATGAAAATAGTTGTTGAATTTAAAGCTCCAGTTACTTTCGGAATAAATGTGAATAAGATTTTATTTATCCATGCCAGCAGAGCTTATTTTTTATCGCGAAGGGGACTGGCGGTTGGGCGGCAAAAGAGCATGTAATAATAAGTTTTTGAAGAATTTTGAAGAAACAAGAAAGAAAAAGAAAAAAAAATGTGAAAGGTTATTGAGGACATTGATAAAGATTTAACGAATAAACTCGATGAAAGGCTAGATCGGCCCAGTCGCTTATAATATTTATAATAATATATCAATGCGCGCGAATAGGAAGCAGCGAGAGAGAAAAAAGAGAGAGAAAACATGGTAAAGGTTGCCGTTGAATGGGGCGTGTTTAAAATTTATTGCTACCTGCAAATATTGAATTATTGAAAGGAAGGAACCGTTTACGTTAAAAATATCTAGTCGCAATCTAGTCACGTGATTTTTTATGCTTGGCATAAGAAATAAATCCTAACCGTTAACTCGCGAGGCTTATTTATGTTGGCTATGCAGTTAGCGCATGGCAAAGCCGTGTGCCGTAAAATTTCTCCTCGCGTTTCAATAAATATCAATTGCGTAGAAGCGCATTATTAATTTAATTCGTCGGAGCCTCGCGCTCGCGATGAATTTACGGTATTCCCGTCCCCTCGTTAACCTCGTGTTTTTTGTCCTCGAGACGCGGGTGTCACTCTCTCTCTCTCTCTCTCACACACACACACACACACACACACACACACACACACACACACAAAAAAAAAGGGGTTTCCAAAACTTGGGAAAAAATCTTCTCGTGCACTATTCTATTTCGTGGGGTAATCAAAATGTTTATAAAGAGTTTGAGTAAATATGCCGAGGTGACGAGTTACGTTCGAAAATTAAAAGCGATGTTTGCATGCATTTTACATGTGATATTCAGTTAAGAAGCATCATTTTGTTGTGAAAGCCGTGCGAGCGTCGATTAATAAATCGCAAACATCGGATTTATTCTTATTTATTCATTATCGGGGAATACAGCGCGTAAACACTTTTCTAGCACGTTCTTCAATAATTCATAGACAATAAGAATTTCCCTTACCGCGTTAATGCCTAATTGGGCCGTCGTCTCGCGCATCTCGATAAAATTGAATTTTGCACTTTCATTGAGTACTCTAATGGCTAAATAAACACTTAATTTGTCCGTTATTAATTTGCAGTATTACTCAATTAAGCATTTGTGAGTAAAGTAGCATTTTTAGTTATTTTGAAACTTTCATTGCTGCTTTACGTATACATAAACATCGCTTTAGATGAGCATCGGTTCGCAAATCCAAATGAAATAGCCATTTTATTTGTTAAACTTTATTTGCTCGATGCTTAGCTTTTGTACGGTCGAGTAAAATATTCTCGGCTCTGTAAAAATACGAGCCGACTAGCTCCTATGCTCAGTGAACAATGTTTCATTCGTTCAGGGAATTTTAATCAACTACTGGTTAAACATAACTTTATATATAAATATATTTGTTTTTGTTGTTGTTGTTGTTGCTGTTGTTGTTTTTGTTGTTGTGTTTTTTGTTTTTATATTATCGATCTACAATAGATCGTGTTGTATTAATTTCATGAATTAGCCTCATTTGTGTGCACTGTCCCATTGTCGTTGAACTTTATACGGACTTTGTACGGATCACTAAAAATCTACGAACACTATAAATGTCATCCATCCACTCAAATCCTCGGACATACGCAGTTTTGTCGCGTAGCTTATATTAGAATACTCGTGGTTTGGGGCCAAAAATGACGGATACAAGCGACGAAAGGAAAAAGCGCGGCAAACTTTTTCCTTAATGTTGGGTTGATCATAGTGGATGGAGCGACCGCTACTTTCCCCGTTAAAATGTCAACCTATTCGTTTCTTGCTTCGAAAAACGTCTTTCGATGTCGAGGAATCTTAAAGCCAGGGGATTCGAATTAACGAGCGCGCGGGCAGTGAAAATAAAAGATCTTGGATTATCGGAACGCGTGCCAACTTTCCCGTGAGCGACGCTCGTAAATATTTATACATCGTTTCGTGCGTACAAGCATTAACGAATCCTCTCCCCCTGTGACGTTTATGATTTTTTTTTTTTTTTTTTTTTTTTTTTTTTTTTTTTTACGTCCACTCGACTTTTTACCGCATGGAAATGCTTTCGATTCTCATTTAAAATTTTCGTTGACCATTCGATTTACGAGGAGCGAGTTTCGCTTGTCACAAAGGCGTGCGCGCGCGTCCAACCGTACAACAGTTTGCCTATAACGTTTTTAGTTGCTTGGGAATCGCATTACGAGGTAGCAATAGTCAATTAAGTTGCACTCAACAGGAACTTCCAATGTTCTTGATGAAATGTGCGCGAACCTTTAACGGACATTTGCTCAATTAAACGAATAATTAAGCCAATGACCAAGGCATTTTTTTTTTTTTTTTTTTTTTTTGGATGCACTCGAAGCTTACCTATAAACTTTTTCTCGAGAAATAAAAATTAAATAATCATAATACACTATCAGAATCGGGTAGTCACGAGTTAACGAGGATGTTGCAATACAATTGCGTTACCAAATATTTATGAATAACGGAGGCTCCGCTATCGGGGCATCTATGCGACCGGCGTACAACCGGGACTACTCCCGTCGTAGTAATAAGCACCGACGAAACGACATTTTTCTAAACGCCGACTCGCAATTGCTGATGAAGTTGTCCCTGAAAAATTCCATCCCTCGCGCAGCCCCACAATCCTCGCTAACGCATTTAGGAATTAAAATTTGTCATTTTCACTTGGTACGGGGCAAGGGATTTAAAAAAATAAGTGCCGCGTACGAGAATCCAAACACTGCGCTGCTTCGACGATAGATTAATAGACACGTCGCCACGTGTTACTTACCGTAAATTTACCGTTTCGCAATAACGCGCGTTGTTCTAGTCCGTTGTTTCGTGTAACCGATGAAATCCTCTCGTGGTTTTTCAATTTCGAGGCTGTTTAAAGACGAGCGCGTTGGAAAACGTTGGGAAACGTTGGGAAACGTTGGGAAACGATGATGATTCGAATCGAGGGGATGATGGCGTACGCCTTCGTTACACTTAGCGGCCGAAGTCTTGTGTCCAGTTGCCGGGGACACTATTCATTCAAGATCTTTACTTTAATCCCTATGACTTTGGCCTTATTACATTCATAATGAGGAAATAGCTGGCGTTTTACGGGGACCCGCTGAGCTTTCACGGCGGCAAAACTATCGTCGACGAACTGATGATTTCTTGCCAGAGCAATAGCTAACGCTCGTAAACGCTCGGATGAACGTTATAGAAGAGGTCGAATGTGAAATTATTGCATTTAGGACTTTCCGTTAAGTCCATTGTTTTTAATGAAAAACTGCCTGTTTTATTTTACGACCATGGCATTATTTATTAAATTTACACCGAGTTGGAGAAAATGTTTGCGAATGCCTCTTATTAACCCGTAATATAAAAATATTCATCAAACGAAGAAACGCTAATCTGGTATATAATGTTTAATTGTTAAATGTTAAATGCACTTTTGAAAATAATAGTATATTATTAATGTTTGTAAAATATAAATTTTTTGTCTTCTTTCATAATCTTACGCTCGATACTTATGTTTATCGTGGGAGCGTACATATTTTACATTTAGTGATTGACGGCGGGAGTCATTGTCAATGTGTGCATTAGGTAAAAATGATTGATTTATAATTTGTAATATATCTAGCACATACTAGTTTATAATGCATATGAATTTTGATAATACGTTTCAACGAATTTCCGCCATTTGACAAATAACCGATATTCGCTTTTAACTATAATTGTCTAAAAGACGTAATTATTTTTCCATTTAATGAATAAATTTCTTTTGATAATAAAGTATAAAAACTACAGAAATTTGAATACATAATGCAAGATAAAACAAAAAAAAAAAACAAAAAAAGCAGCCCCTCTTTCTTACTTACGAAGTAAGAAAACGTCTGCAATGGTCAAGGTGAAGTGTAATAGAATAAAATATAGGGGAGGTAAAGCAATCAATTTCAATGATTTTAGTTGCTGCTTGTACTTATCTTGCTTACATTAGAAATGAACTATAGAGCGTCGATCGAAAGTTCCGATTTCCGATGTCGACTTCAATAAATGGCTCGTCGTCGTAAAAGTTATCTCGCCAACATAAATCTTTCGACATACGACAGGTTGTATCGGGCAATATCAACATCATCGAATGCTCTATTGGAACAACAAATAGAGCGTAATGAGATTCTTGGCGGTGAATTTTTTGCATCGATGTATTTCAAATTAAACATAGCCGAGAAAATAAGAACAGAAAAAGAAAAGAAAACAAAGAACACAAAAACCGAAACAATGACATTTGAGAAAACGTTGCTGAAGGAATCACTTATTAAGCGCTAAACTAAAAAAGAAAACAGATAATTTATTCCATTATCATATAACATTAAAGGCACTCGATGACGATATGCATATGCTGCGTTGCAAAATAATTTCAGCCGTAA